TATTTACAACGGATAATCTGGAATCTCTACAAACTACATTTACATCACACATTAACATCACATATCATTGCTACAGTCTAATTAATAATAATAAATGCATTATACTCAAATACTGTTATACATTATAATTTTTATATTATTATTATACACTTCTTGGAAGTGCTATTTCACTTGCCTGCTAGGGCCTTGTTCAAAATACAAATAGGCATGCTTTTGAAGAAAGAAGTGAGCGTTAGGGCTGTCCACACATTTTCGGGTCGTCGCCTATTAAACTCCGAACCTTTCGGGCCAAGTGTTTAGGCGGAGCGGAGTCAAGCAATAAGGAGTACTACACGAAACGCCGAGCAGAGCCCCGATTACGGTAATTTTTAACGTCTACAATCCAGACACGCTTCTCGATTCTGCGATACGATTGGTCGTTCAACAGCGTACGTCAGCTGTTTTGACCAATCGTATCGCAGAATCAAAAGCGCGTCTGGATTGGAAACGTTAAAAGTTACCGTAATCGGGGCTCTGAGGGCGCTACCAGAACAAACGGTAAACAATCCGCCATTTTGTATCTTTTTTTTATAACAACAAAACATCTCTGGGAAGTTTATTTCTGCAAATGTCGAGTGTTTATTTGATATAGTTGTGCTAGAACATAGGATTTTAGTTCTATTGTTTTTTCATGGATTCCGTGGAGACAAGTATTCCCGTAGCAGGTTTCAAGACGCTATCGGGTTCAAAGCGAGTTGTTCACACAACAACTCGCTCGACATTCGATGCGCGCTCAAATTCAGTTTTTCAATGCTTTTAATGTATTACACTTTAGAACACAAAAATAATATAAATTGTTTATTAGAGTCCATTACATAATAAATTAAAAGCATTAAAAAGATCGTTCATGCTTTCCGTTTATACAGGGTGGAAACGATAAGTGATCTCATTCGATTATTTCTAAACTACACAAGATATCGACAATCTGGTTACTGATCCTGAAAGTGCTTCACGAGCTCTATCCAACGGTACCAATAATAAGTTATAAAATAAAACTGAATCTATCCGAAAATTCAATGTTTCCAGCCTCCATACTAAATGTATGCCGCTATGCTAGCCACTCAATATTAGAAGTGTTATTTTTTTTCATTTTAAATAATAAACACTTGAAATAAACTCGTAAATTGCATTCTGATTTAAAATTATTAATGGAAAACATTGGCTTTAGGCTTTACTTGCTATAATATTATCAAGACATGAGTGCCATGACTGTGGCAGTACTAATTGTAAGGAAGTTGGAAACATTGAATTTTCGGATAGATTCAGATTATTTTATAACTTATTATTGGTACCGTTGGATAGAGCTTGTGAAGCACTTTCAGGATCAGTAACCAGTTTTTCGATATCTTGTATAGTTTTTAATATTATGTGGTTTTACTAAATGTATGGAGGCTGGAAACATTGAATTTTCAGATAGATCCAGTTTATTTTGTAACCTATTATTGGTACCGTTGGATAGAGCTCGTGAAGCACTTTCAAGATCAGTAACTAGTTTTTGGATATCTTGTATAGTTTAGAAATAATCGAGTGAGATCACTTATCGTTTCCACCCTGTATACCCTCCACAACAGATGTCAGTTGACATTTCAAATGTTTGCGCCAGTGCTGCATTCCGACGGCGGAACATTGTAGCAATACCAAGGGTAAGCCCGGACGGCGCGGAGCTCAGGAGCCCAAAACCGAACAGCGTGGACAGCCCTCACAACAATACCGGAACATATCGAAGCTAAAGTTAAGTTTGTATCGTTCAGTCTGATCAAAAGCGTGTTTAATGTCGCACATGGAACAGGTGTTCACTTAGAGTCAGCGTTCGCGGCGCGCGCGCTTGCCGCGGGCGGAGGGCGCGGGCGGCGAGTCGTCGTCGCGGCGCTTGGCGGGCGCGGCCGGCCGCTGCAGCTGGCTCTGCGCCGTCAGCTGCAGCTGCAGCGCGTGAGTGTTCAGCCGCTCCGCCAGCAGCAGCGGCTTCAGCGCGGCCATCTTGTGGCTGTACAGCGTCACGCGGGGCCGGCTGTTCACGGCCGCCGTTAACTGCTCCCTGACACTCATTTCTGCATTGTCCGCCTTGTCATTCCATTTGTCGTTCCCGTTCTCTCCGCCTTTATCTTTCGTCGACGACGCCCCGTTGTGGCCTTCTTTAGGTTCGTCCACGTCCGGACTGCATACAATGTTCACCTGAGCCCTAACTTCGGCGTCGAATTTGGATATTGTGCTCACCAGTGGTCTGGCCCAGCCAATATGAAGTATGGGTGTTTGACTTCCTTCTTCCCATTTACAAATACCGTCATAGAATCTGTAATCACAAGGCAAAATATTATTTACTTAAAATAAAGTGTATGAAATTGGAGACTTTAGTTAGTTAGACTATTTGTTATAGTATTGGTGCTATTGTCATAGGAACTCATTTGAGGCATAAACGCTTATGCACACGATGCCGCTGCTGCCGCGCCGTCGCCGCGATTTTATACTGTGGATACGCGCCGTGTAAAGCTCGCTGCCGCACCGGCACCGCCCTGTATACTAACAACAGTAGAGCGTTAAAATTATGCTTCGACGGCTCGGGAGCGGCGCGTTGGTGTGCTTTACGCGGTGCGTATCTAGTGTAGGGGTGCGGCGACAGCGCGGTGGCGGCTTCCTGTGCAGGAGCGCTAAATGTGGACTTGCAGCCAAGATCAATGCAGTTACACTCCCTGCCAATCTTGGAATTATGAAAACTTATTTTACAAACCTCAACAGCGATGCAAAACATTCTGGATCTTTTAGTATTGTTCTTGCTGAATGTCCAGAACTCTCTAGTTTCATTAATTGAGGTATTTGCTCATTAGCAATTTCAGAAAACTCCTTATATATTTCTTCATCATCCCGGGAGTAGTTATAGCTATAAGAAAAATTAAAAACAGTCAGATTGGATAAGAAGTCATTTACTGGAAAACAGTGCCATAAATGACATTTATTCCTCTTTTTGAACCGTTTTCTGTGTACAATAAAGTTTCAAATCAAATAAACAACTCACTGTCTTATAACATCTCCAGCACAAGCCCAAGCATTAAATGCTTCTTTGTACATTTTGTTGCGGAGGTAATAGCCACCCTGGAATGTGTAGGGATAGACATGTTTATCTTCATAGTAAGTCCTTGCAGACCTTATAGCTTGCACATACAGGGCTGCTGGGTCTGGTCTTGAAGCCAGTTTCTGAGATAATGGTGAGTTCTGTGATTCCTCTTTTAAGTCCCGTATGCCGGAGCTCTCCATGTACTCATCCAAGTCACCTAGATTTCCAAGAGCCATAGGATATGCATCCAAATGACCTGTAATTGAATATAAAACAAATATAGTTAGTTATAAATTCTTTTTCTAACTGGTCCAGTCTTGACAGATTTTTATGGATGCAAGATAAGGATCTCGAAGAAAAATAAAATAGTCTTAATTTTCTACCTGCATAGAGCTATTAAATAAAGATATGACATTTATTACCATGATCATACAAAAGCCAGAGGAGGTTGTGTTGCATCTGTGATACTTCATGAACATCAATATTAGGTGTAAGAGTAGGATTGATTGACGAGACCAGTGCAGCAAGTTCCATGATTCTGGTGCACACTACAGGTTTCCCAGCTACATACAGCCAAGAGCGTGCCAACACCCCCTCACCCACAGAACGGCCTCTTTTATCTTCATTACCTTTACCATGCCATGTGACCTGACAATGTATAATAAAACATTTATAATACTTTGATAAGTCTTTCTACTACATTTCATTTACAATGCAAATAAAAAATGCTCTATTCTTATAATAATAATACACACACCTCTGCGGTTTCTTTTCCATCCTTCCCAAAGACCACCCAAGCATGATCTTCAGATAGCGCTAAATGGACATCGCGTTTACCTACAACTTGACATCCAGCAGTCACAGCAAATGCAACTCCAAAACAGTCAAGCTTATTGCCTGATAAAAAACTATATATTGACTGTAGATGTGCACGGTCTTTGTAATAACTACGAGTTAGAGAATTCCAAACGATATCAGCAACGCGTTTAACCAAGTCTCGTGTAGCATACTCCCCGTTTAACAACTTATTGTCAACTCCGCTCCGCATCAAGGAAACAAACCTATCGTGCAAATCTTTGACTTCTTCCCATTCGAGAGAAGGGAATTTCATTTTTACAACAGATTGTTTGTTTGTCGATAGATTTACATCTTTATCGCTGTTTTTTATGTTAGTTAGATTGTTTTCAATTGCTCCCACAATAATGGAAAATAAAGATAGGTCGGGCTCCTTTTCACTGCGCAATTGCTCTTCAAATAAATCACATACTTTCTGAATACTGTCTATTGGAAAATATTTTTTAAAATCAATTCCGGACATATTCTATTGCATTATATATTTAAAAGCCGAAAGATTACTGGTTATTTTACTTGTATTTATTTTTATTACGCAAATGTCGCAAGCCGGCAATTTGGCATTCCCATTGTACCACAGATTAATAAACAAAGTGAAGCGTAGTGAAGTGAAAAAGATCGTACTGCTACGTACTGTACGTACAAATACGAGACAAAGATAATATAAGTTCAAGACTAAGGTGTTATTTATGAAACTCATCATAAAGCTCGTATGTACTGAGCCCCAGCCCCGATTACGGTAATATTTAACGTCACCAATCCAGACACGCTTCTCGATTCTGCGATACGATTGGTCGTTCAACAGCGTACGTCAGCTGTTTTGACCAATCGTATCGCAGAATCAGAACGCGTCTGGATTGTAGACGTTATAAAAGTTACCGTAATCGGGGCTCTGCAATATTCCCATACTAAACCAAACAGAAAAACGTATGTAACTTCTAGCATCTCACCCTACAAATTCGATCTCAAAATTAATAGCATTTTGATTTGATGAACAAACCTACGCAGAATGCGAGCTTATCAGCGTTTTATTTTGATTATATAGTCTTTGGTTTGGTTGACAGACATCTGACGTCACAGATTTGTTGACATGGCGTTATTTTGTCAAACAAAATAAATGAGAATATTTATGTTTTCCCCTAATTGTTAAGGATGAGAAATGTTTAAATAGTAATGTCTTTTTCATTAAATATTAGTGATATAATTGCACATGTAAAAAATATTGTAGATAGCGTACGATGTACAGCTTGGTGAGTTCTTCAAGAAAGTTTTGTGTTACAATGGTGTTACAATGTTTTCTGATTAAAATATTAATTCTATTCGTTTTTACTAGTGACAAGGCTGATGGAGGTCGTACCAGATTTCTATGTGGACATACAAGTTGCGATGACTGCCTGACTGAATCAGAAGAGTGTGTGTTATGTGTTACACCTCCCACATCTTTGGGCAAACCCAAATCTGACAAACCTCTTTCTCAGCGAGCTCAAAACGCTTATAATCTACTTGAAGTTTGTCAAGACACTTTTCATTTAGATGGTACGTTCATAAACACTAAAAAAATGCGGTATTTGTTAACTATGCATGCATCTCCATAATCCACACAACTACACAATGAATATAAGTCAATGATTCAGTATGTCTATTTTTTTATGCTTTCAGTTTATCAAAGGGTTTCAGAGGGCTTACGAGTTTCTGAACAACTGAAGGCTGAAAGAGAATTGTTCCCAGAATGCATTCAAGCTCCACAAAAGTATTGTAATAAAAGGAAAAGTATTGTTATGAAAGGAGATAAAGAAAATTTACATAGTTCTTTTCATTTTGGTGAGCACATCTCACATTCAGATTCATTTAAAATGAACAAATGTAATAATTATGTTCAACAGTGGCTTGAAAAAACTGAAAATTATCCTAGAAAAGCATTAGCTGACTTAAATGTTAATAAGTCAAACAGCACAAGAAGGAAAATACTTCAACAGAAAACTGTAAAAAGTAAGTCTAAACAAAGTAATAATAGTCATGTCAAGGCAGAAGTATCAAATTCAAAGCAAAGAAAAAGACCTTTTTCTACAACATCATTTTCACTTATTGGTCAAGAAAATAGTGTGCCTGATTTAATTATTAAAAAATCTAAAAAAAGTGAATCTAAAACATTTTTGCATGAACTCCACAATAAAACATTGGAGTGTCCAGACAATGAAGAAAGTGGAATAGTATTGGATGATGAACCCATACTGATAGAAGATTCACAGAGCCAAATAATTGCAGAAGATAAAGATAAACTTGCATTATTAGCAGTGCAAGCTGCTGAGAAGGAACAATCAGGTGTCACAGCCTTGACATTAGAGACTACACAGGATCTTGAACTACCTCCTATATGCATTAATTCAAAAACTAGTAATAAGAAGCACAATAAAAATGTTCCATTTTATAAAAAGGGTTCCCTAGCAGATTGTTCTCCTCACTACCCTGTTGATAACAAACCAGACATTGAAAGAGAAAATGTGTTGATCACTATTGAAAATCAGAATTTTATTACCACTATTAATATAATGAATACTGAAAATATTGTTAATGACAAAAAATCTGTTAATATCCAAACTAATTTAAATGATGAAGACAGGATGCCAGAAATAAAAGAGAAAAGTAAAGGAAATAATAACAAATTTGTGCCTTTGCCAAGTGAGAATATTGTTACTGAAAAGAATCAAGAGTCACAACAGTCACCCTGTATTTACAATGTATGTGGTGACAATAATACCACATCTAAGAGAGGTGGCATTATTATTGATGATTCTGATAGTGATGATAGCCTTTTTATGGGAAGCTATTTACAAGTGGAAGCTGAAGTTCATAGATCTTGTGAGCCATTGTAAGTCAAATTCTCCTAATGTTGATGTAGAACATTTAAATGATGAATATAAAGTATTTTTACATATTTTTATATTTTACAGAGACTATGGCATCCTTAATGAAATAAGTACAAGTGAATTACCACACAGATCCAGAAATAAAATGAGATGCCTTTCACCAGATAGCAATAACTCTTCAGAGAAGGAAAATTGTGATCCAAATAAAGGCAAAAAGCATAAAAATGTAAAGAAAAGCAAATATTTTAAGAAGTAATTATAATTTGTTAGCATGTAATGTAATAATTTTCAATTTATTAAAAAAAGTTATGAATCAAAAATGATTTATGATTATTTCTTACATCTTCCTCCAGATAAAAGTTTTACAGATATACAAAAATGCAACTAGGTGCCGAAGCCATGGGAAAGAAGATAGGTATAAATAAATTGTAAAGATAGTGCTTTTGAAGTATAGGCCAGGAGAATTAAACACAAAAATGAATTAAATCGGAAAAATTCCTACTAAAGATTTTAGTGCTTTAATGGCTTCATTAGTTGCCCATAAAGACTCTCCTAGGTTTTCGACTTTGACGGAGTTGTGCTTAAGTGGTGGGGGCCCCCGAAAAGGGCGCATTTTCGGTTTTGCGGTTATACCGCGTAAAGGACTTACCCTATCGTTTTTCTTATTCTTATTCTTATTCTATCGAAAGTTTTTCTTATTCTTATTCTTATTCTATCGAAAAGTGGTCTTCCTGACGGTTGAAGGGCATTTAATCCTGCATTAAATAAGACCAAATTCATATGTTTTGAACAAAACGTTCTCCTGCAAATGTTCGGCAAAGTAGAATATAATATGTGTACCTATAATTAATGACCCTCTCCACGTCTAATGGCTCGTTACCCGCAGGCTTCCAAGTCTTGAAAAGGAGCGCATCAACCAGTGTAACCCTATCAAGGCTTACGAGCTGGCTGCGCCTATCCTTGTTCGTCCCAGCCGTTCCTTAACTGCGGTTGCGGTGCACCTCTTCCTGGCACTCACCTGAACGACTCTGTGTTACTTACTGTGGCTGCCCACAATCAACCTGTTGGTCACAGGTTGAAAAACACTGATCTAGGGAATAAAATTGATGCTCTGTTGAATTATTCGTACGCACGCACGATGATAATTCGGCTTTACAAGACCGACTCAGGTTCGATTACGAGTATTTATTTATGAGTCAACTTTTTATTTTTTATTTGCTTGCGTCTACTGGTGTAGGTGAGGTGTAGTACTGGGACTCGCCTTTATCATTGAAAGCATAAGGTGTGGCAAATATAATTTGTTTGTTACATTTAATTTTCATCCATAACTGTAAGTGCCGAGTGTAATTTTAACAATTTTTTAATTTTGAATGCAGTTTTCTATCTTTTAAAAAATACATAATTCCACTCTGTATTTTATCTAGGCTACGGACATTGCTAACGATGCATTAAGTGTAAGGTAGAGTATAAAGGTATGTGTGGTTGACACAGGTATAATAAATTAAAAAAATATTTAAGTTTCGAGGTATCGTTTTATTTTAATTTGTACTAATAGAATCATGAAGGAGAGATCACCACCAGCCAGAGCCAGAGGAGCCGCCGCCGGACCAGCCGCCGCTGCCGCCGCCGAGTTTCCAGCCGCCACCGCTGCCGCCGCTGGACCAACCGCCGCCGCCGCCGCCGCTGGACCAGCCGCCACCGCCGCCGCCGAGCTTCCAGCCGCCGCCGCTACCGCCACCGCCGGACCAGCCGCCGTGACCACCACCTTCATCCATAATATTAGGTAAGTACGTGCAAGTATAATAAGTCATCGGTAGACGCTGGCAGACATAAGATTGGCGGGTTCTGATCGTTATCTCAAATGTCATATGTTATTATGATCTGGTTTAGTCTGGGGTAGCGCTAATGAGAGATAGGTGTTAGGTAATCTTTGGTGTAATAAGTTAGGTACTGTAGTGTAATTAATACCTTGTACAGCTAGCCTCTAGTCACAATTGATTAATGTCAAGACCTAGGTAATTCTTTATTAACCTTGTGCTGCACACTTCTCAATTCGCAACTTGTAATTAACATAAAATTACCTGTGATATTATCTTTTTGAACGCATCAATCTAATAATGCACGATTATGTACATTGTAGGTACCTACAGCAGCAAATTGCAACAGTGCGCAGTGGCAATGACAAATGCGAACGGGCAGATGACCCTAAGTTGTCTGGTAGTCGTCCAATCTTTTGACCTTTGTAACGTTACGTTACGTTACGTTAAAATTACTATTGTATCTAAGTAAGTAACTAGGTACTCTAATTGGTGGCTTTGACCTACAAACTGAACTCTTATCTATGAATTAATGTAACGGTCAGGCTAAAACTGTAAGACTAATTATAGAAAAAAAACAAAAAATTGTCTTACCGTAACCACCACCGCCGCCGCCGCCGCCAGAGGAGATGATTTTGATGATTTTCACCTCTGAAAAATATATTCAATCGGTAAAAACTATTTCGATTATTTCAAACGAATTACAAATCAAAATATTTATTCAGTAGGTACTTAGGCCCTTTCCAATGTGGCCCTTGAACTTTTCTATTGCTAAGATTTGTTACATATTTTATAGTTGAAAATGTATGTCACGGCTTCAGTAATTTCGCGCTAGACTTTGCGGATACTATATTTTGAAAACTGTTTTTTCAACTTAGTACACCTTCCGAAAGCTGTTGGTTGGAATTAATTGTCTGTCAGATCAGGTGTTTTACATGCGAATCAGTGATAATATAAATTGATTCAAATTAAATATACTTACGTCCGCCGCTGCCGCCGCCGCCGTAACCGCCACCACCGCCGTAGCCGCCACCACCGCCGGATGACCATCCACCGCCTCCTCCTCCAAGTTTCCAGCCACCGCCGCCTCCTCCGCTTGACCATCCACTGCTGCCACCCCTCCAGCCACCGCCGCCGCCGCCGCTGGACCAGCCGCCGCCGCCGCCGCCGTATCCGCCGCCGCCGCCGCCTGACCACCCTCCACTACCACCACCGCTGATAAAACCGGCGTGGGCCGCTGCGGCCAGCGCTAACAAGCACACGAATACCTGAAAATTGAAAATGAGTTGATTGAAAATTCAATTAGTAATAATTTAATCAATTTGGTTTTGAAAGCTGTAAGTAATGTTATTACATTACCTACAAAATTAATAAAATATAGATCGAACTGAGATTGTCGGTAATAAAGAGCGACACTAATAAAATTATGGGATTTAGAGCGCGTTGGCTTAATTGACTTTTCGTGACTGCTATAAGCTATTTGTGTAAACAAAAAGCTCGCCAAAATGTTTGATGAACTGTGGTAGTACTCGTAGTTAATGAGGCAAAAATCTGGATCAAACAACATTTTTTGTTGGTTTCGCGTTTGGTGGTCACCTACCTTCATGTTGAAGCTGTTTGGTTACTGCTTGGTTGTTGCCGGCTGGTGTGGCGTTATATATGTGGAGAGGCATCTCCCACCGCGCCCGCGCGGAGGACCGCGGGCCGCGTCGGAGATTGCGAGCGGAAGCGGTTCCGCGGCCACGCGGTGATGCAACCTATTGTCCCTAAAGCACCTAAAGTGTTATTAAATAGGTATTTGAAGATACAGTGTGTCCTCCTCGACCTCTTTTTATGATAATACTTTTGAGACCGTTATATAACATAATACATAGCTATTATTAATATGGATTAACGTCATGTTACTTGCTTCATACTTACTTTTTATTTAGAGTGTAGACTGGTCTAGACTTGAAAGTTTCATAACTTACTACAATTTTACAAGCTATTTTTAGCTTCACCTGAGTTGGTGATTCTACCAAATCTATGGACACCTAATAAATTTCGGCTGGTTGAAAATTCGATTGAGCTGTTGATGACGATCAGACAGAAATTCTAACCCAATAGACTACTTACATTCAAATTCGTTTTTGAAAACAATGTAGCAGATAGATTTTCGATTTATTCAGGCTTTATTTGTTTTGCTCTTCTTACTGTGTAGGTATGTACTATAAGTACATTACCTACTTACATAACGATAAAAAGCTTTTCGAGGGGAAACTTAACAGTTCAGAGGGATGCTCAAATGCTATTTCTTAGCCTCGAGTTAAAGACTGTTCCTGTTTATTCTTGCTCATAACAAATCTTATTTTTTACCATGTCTACTAAAGATCTGAAGATCGACAACATTCTAATTTTGATACATTATTAGGATAATTACACGTAGACAGCTTAAAACGTGATGCAAGTGACCTCTGCTGATGTTTCAAAAGTTTCCGTAACAGCTTCGTTATCAAATTAAAACGTAAGTAGCTAGATAGGTAATTCGGAAAAGGTAAACGGGAGATTTTCCAAAAGTTCCAGTGCAAGTTCAGTCAGTCTCATTCAGCGATTTGTTGGCATACTTAACTAGGGTTCCGGTGCCGTAAATATGTAGGTAGGTACAAAAGGGTTTTATGGTGGAATCCTAATGGCAAGTTCTATTCTGGTTATTTTTGGTTGGCGATCAATAACGGGTTCGCAGTGCAGTTTATGAGAAATTAACCACCAAGTAACTTTAACGGGCGCATTAACTAAAACCATTGGTTCCTAGTTTTAGGGCAGATATTAGTCGGTATCATATTTTATATTGCTTGAAAAGCAATTGGTCCGAGAACGGTTTAAAATTTCGCGGGCAGTAGGTACATTTCCGTGCCGGTACTTAGTGGTGAGAGAGTGGTTACAAAGGAGGAATGGTAGGGGGTCGGGTTGGTCTCCGGCAGTCTCCGCTAACAACATGGAACCACAAATGGAACTCAGTGTTGTCTGGTCCGTTACTGGACAACTTGCCCGTGCCACCTACTAATCCATGGGATTAACTATTTGTCATGAAATGAGCTTTTTTAAACTTTTTAACCCACTTAAGTAAATACAGAAAGGTTCTACTTATGTATCATCATTACCTTATCTAGTTAGTAACTTTTCGGATAATTGGATTGACCACACCTGCGCATACCATATCATCATCATCATCAATTCATCATCGTCTTTCAGCCACAGAATCAGTGCTGAACATAGGAATCCCCCCACAGCCTCTTCCAATATTTCTATGTAGGTACCTACCTAGCCTACTTAGATTGGCCGGTTGGTAGCGGCCTGCATCAACGTTTTTCTTAAAACCTGCAATTAAGTATTGGTTTAATTTGGTTAGTTGCAGCAATGGGAGATTAGTTTTTACCCGACTACGGCAAAGCAAAAGGAGGGCTATGATTTTGACAGGCTATGTATGTTCATTTGTTATTCCCTCGTAACTTCTAAACTACTTATCAGAATTCGACAAATGACATATCATTAGAAGTGTCTTAATTGTCCGAGGTTATAGGCTATATGGGGTTTCACAAAATCTAATAGCAATAGCAGTTCAGTATTCTGAAAATCTTGTTTTATACTTTTTCAGCGTCGTTTTTTATGCTGGAAGGTTAATATGACAAAACACTAGTGTGAGGTAGCACATAATTATGCGCCAGCCTGCGAGCACAATAGCATTGTGTGAATATTGTGCTTAATCGCTAAATGTTGCATCGGAGTGCGTTACATGAAGTAACCGCCGTCTGCCCGCGAATCTACGTGAACATTGGGCAACTATGATTTTGGAGATGCTCCGATAGCGGTGCCGGCAAAAATTACCTTCATCATCTTGTGAATTTATTATTCATTTGATTCCATCAGTTCAAAGCGCTCTCAGATTTGTTCGTCAAGGATATTTCAACACAGACAAGCCGTTTATCATCGTGTGGTTTAACAATATCCCACATTGTAAAGGGAGTGGGACTAACTGCGGTAATTCTCGAAACGTCTAATTACGTTTGAATCAAAAAATTCTAGTAGAAATAATAACTGTTTATTTAATAAAGAAATCTAAGTGGGTGTTCCAATTGTTTAGTTGTTTATTCTCGCTAATCAGATTTGCATGAATCTAGTACCAGTCATCATACTTCAAAATTGACCTTAAGTATTTATTTATTTAAAAATAAACTAAGTACAAAATTAATAAAATGTTATATGTAATAGTAATACCAATTATTAAATTAATTGTACACCTATTGTGATAAATAATTAATAACTAATAATATAATAATAATGTAATTGAATTAATTAAATAATTAAATGTTTATAAAATTCTTCCACTCTCTTAGAATGCTGTGCCCGACAGGGTCCATAATTGTATCTTATAAAACCATACATACCACCTCTGTAACATTATGGATACAATAAAAAATTGAGTATTGAGTATGATAGGTACCTACTTGGTTCACTGGTGGAGAATGCTTTTAGGATTAAGCCACCTTTACATATTGTTTTTGTGTACGATACCATTACTTCATGAGCCGTACTATCAGTAAAAAACTACTTAAAAAGCTAAGTAGCAAATCTGTACCTATGCCTGCAGTTGCGCTTGCGCCTTCTCGCTTAAACTAAGTACTAGCTGAACCAATAGACTAGTTTCCTAAAAAAACTTTTAGTCCGTCAATTACATTATCAAAAAATATTGGACACTTATAAAAAATTGTCAATCAAACAAGTAATTACGAAGTTATGATGCGTTGAAGTTCCGCGTGACGTCACAAAGTGCTACACTTCTTTTGAACTCTCTCTTTCAATTTTCATTACTTTGAAAAAGTGGAAATTACGTGTCAAGTATTTTTTGATANCAAAATTCCACGCGGGCGAAGCCGCGGGCGGAAAGCTAGTACGTCATAAATTGTAAACCGCTACGTTTGTACGGCGGAACCCTCGGTGTGCGAGCCCGACTCGCACTTGGCCGGTTTTTTGATAAATTAATCGACAACGAACTTATTCAAACTTGCTTTTTTTACCCAGGTAACATCCCTAGAGGGGGCGGTAAATTAATTCCTACAATTATATCTTTACCTCCCTATAGGTAGTACCTACTGAAATGAGTACCTAGGTACTTATTATAATGGGAAAGTTTGTATGGGAATCCCCTAACTTCTCACGTTGGTAATATGAAAGTAAAATATGAACGCGACAACCGGACAACTTTTGTGGCAGACCGAAATACATGCGGGTGAAGTCACGTACCTACATAAGCTAGTATTCAATAAATTGTCAATATTTTGATAAACCAATATAAACATTTATTAATTAAGTCCAAGTAAACTTGAACCATGAAGGTCACTGAAGTGTGTAAATAGTATTTATTCGAGCTTCTAAACAATAATGTGGCAACTTGTCCGCACAACATTCGTAGATGTTCAACTAAGTAAGGTCGTTGCTTTTGGATTTTAAAACGATAAGATTGTTGTAAATAAGTAGTTAAGTAAGTACTTCTGTCTGTCAGAGACGAAAAACATAAAGGCGGTCATTGGTAATCACCACTACTTCTACTACTGGCATATAGCTGGGATCTTTTTTATCTAAGGCTGGGATTAACAATCTATTTTGAATGTGTAGATAACACGGAAGATGCTAATATCATGTAATTTTAAAACTACGTTGATATATTACGTTTTCAATAAGTTTCGAAAACCTAGTAGACTTAGGTAGGCCTAAGTCTTTCCTAGTCTTACTGAAAATACAACTTTTCGAACATCTAATTAACTTTTCGATATCATAATTTCGTAAATCTGACGTATCGTATCATAATTTTAGAATTAAAGCTAACTTTTTGAAAACCAAAATTTCGTAATTCTGTAACCTAAGTTTAATTTTCGACAACATAGCTTCCAAAAAAAACCCTAATATTTAGAAAACCTAACTTACCAAAACCTAACTCTCCAATTAGTGAGTAGTTAGCTCGTCAACCTAACTTTCAGAAAAACTTTTTCATAAACATTAGATTTTCAAAACCTAACTCTTGAGAAAATTTCATTTATCGAAAACCTAAATTCTCGCACCATAGCTTCCTGAATGAAAATCCGAAATTAATCGTAAGTAAACCTACAAGTCGAAAACCTACCTGAATATTTTTAAACCTTTCCTGAAAACCTAGTTATCGGAACTTCACTTTCGGAATCCTAACTTTTCTGAAATCGAACATTTCGAAATTACAACTTCGAAACTTAACTTGCCGATGTCCTTCGTAAACCTATCTTTCTGAAAATATAACTTTCACAAAAATTACATAAATATCACATGAAATATAAACCCTTTGTAATACAATGTCACACTTCGATGTCGACCCTTTCCCCCCCTTATGTGTAGTAATTTATGTATGCTTAAAATACTACTAAAGCTACAGTGTTAGTTTCATAAAATAGGAGAACTTGTATTTAAGATCTTTAAAACACACAAATTAAAATTTCGTAGTAGGAATGAAATCGCCCATTGGAGGCTATTAATAATTAAAATTAACCTCGAAGATCATCATAAGCTTGAATCATGATTTTCATAGTTGTCAGTGAGCTAATACTGTATTACTCGTAATTAAATGCACAA